TATGTAATGCTCCGGTGGGAAGGTAACGGCGCTCTATGCAATCATGCCAGCAACATGCCAGATTCTTTGGAATTTAAACAAAGATAAGAAACACTGCCATTATCAATCAAGGCAGAGGAAGAGGAAAATCAGCAGCCTCATTTTGAGGGATGTGAGTATGAGATAGCACAGTGGGTTAAACAGCTGAGCTGCTGAGCTTGTTGACCAAAAGGCCGAAGGTTCGAATCCCGGGGAGTGGCATGAGCTTCTGCTGTCAGCCCCAGCTTCTGCCAACCTAGCAGTTCAAAAACATGCAAATGTCAGTTGATCAATAGGTACTGCTCCAGCAGGAAGGTAACGACACTCCATGCAGTCATGCCGGCCACATGACCTTGGAGGTGTCTATGGACAATGCCGGCTCTTCGACTTAGAAATGGAGATGAGCACCAACCCACAGAGTCAGACACAACTGGATTTAATGTCATGGGGAAATCTTTACCTTTATCTAAGCCATTATTTTCCTTCTTGTCTTGTTTTAGTTAGTTGAAGTGAAAGCCCTTAAATATTAAGGGCTTCTGTATTAATCACATACCTTATAAAAGAGGCAATGCACATTATTGACAGCTTTAGAGTCCTCCTATTTCCTCTAATATTTGAGTTTGCCTGTTCTTGATAGTAGCACAGCAGTCATTAATTCGGTAAAGGCTAGTAATATTTTGTGAGAGCTGCACATCGAACAATGAACATGACATTCAGCCTCTTTTCCTGAGGCAACCATAAATGAAGGTAGCAATTGGAAAGTTCTTCCACACAAAACAGGGAGAGCAACTGTGAGCAGTGAATTAATCTTTCCCCTGTTAGTTTTTCCCGCAGTCTGAGCATGACATGCAAGGACATAGAGCACACTACGCTGATACATTATACACTATGTTCAATTCCCAGCTGAGTTTGCTTTCACCCTTTTCCCATATTAAGGATGCTTGCAGATCAGAGTTGCCGCGCTTCCTCTTTGTTGACTTATTTCTGTGCTTGCATATCTCTGTTATTTAATCTCCATGCTGAGGCAGCCTTGCAAGGTGTGTGATTAAGACTGGTGTCCCGATAAGCTCTGAAATATGTTTTTCTCCATCAAAAGATACTTAAAGATAATTGAGGAGATTTATAAATGGGCTTTGGGGGACTGGGGAGAGGCATTGTAAGTGCAGTTGTTCGCTTTAGCAGCAAAGAAGTGTTCTACCATTTCTGTTTTATATTATTATACAGTTGCTGCTTTAGTTATCTTGCTGCTGCAGTACAAGGCAGAATTCAGTCAGTGACAAAAAGGAAATTTTGTGAATACAGTATCACAATGTTGTCTTTGTTGTACCATAGGGCATCGTTAAATAGTAATAAAGTATTTAGAAGTCCCATCTCTATCCCTGCAAAAACTAATTTATTTTGGAGATCCATCTGATATTTCCTAATTCCAGAGTATTTTCTTTGGCGCTCCTAAAATTAGCAAAATCTTTTCATTGCCACCCCCAGATCAGTTTAAATTAAATTAGTACTTTCTGAAGTAAAATGTATCTATTTCTACCTATGTATTTCTGCTATCTAGGAAAAGTATTAAGATAACTGGAGCATTACCTATTGATCTACTCACATTTGCAAGTAAACAGACGTATTGTTTCTAGAACAGAAATTCAACAGAGATCAAACAAGGGTCTGGAGAACAAGCCCTATGAGGAGCAGCTTAAGGAGCTGGGCATGTTTAGCCTGAAAAAGAGAAGGATGAGAGGAGATATGATAGCCATGTATAAATATGTGAGAGGAAGCCACAGGGAGGAGGGAGCAAGCTTGTTTTCTGCTTCCTTGGAGACTAGGACGCGGAACAATGGCTTCAAACTACAAGAGAGGAGATTCCATCTGAACATTAGGAAGAACTTCCTGACTGTGAGAGCCGTTCAGCAGTGGAACTCTCTGCCCCGGAGTGTGGTGGAGGCTCCTTCTTTGGAAGCTTTTAAGCAGAGGCTGGATGGCCATCTGTCAGGGGTGATTTGAATGCAATATTCCTGCTTCTTGGCAGGGGGTTGGACTGGATGGCCAATGAGGTCTCTTCCAACTCTTTGATTCTATGATTCTAAGGGAAAGAGGAATCTTAGTATTAAAATAAAATGATCCTAATGTTTAACTTTAACCAGAACTACTGAATAATAATAAAAAGTCCCATTGAAAATTGGTGTAAAACCATTTTTGAGATGTTGTATGAGACTTGATGTAGCCACACATTCAGAAGGAGAAAGAGAGAGATGGAGAAGGAGGGGAAGAAGCCAATGATATTTCAAGAAAGAGACAGGATATAAACTCATGAATATGCAGGTACAAAAAGATCTGGAAATTGTTGATCTTTCCAGAGATATCTGTACCCATCTAAAGACACTTATAATATATCTTTTGGGTTTTGTTTTTTTTAATGAATTGGCTTTTGAAGTTAAAAAAAATCTGACCTGTTTGAGCTTTTAATCATACTGACTTCAGAATGATTATATCATAAAGGTTGGACACATATTAATCAAATCTTGTGTCTGTTCATTAATTTAAGTGATAATACTTTTCAGAGAAAGGAAATGGGCTCTTTTTATCTTTCAAATATAAGGGTGGTTTCACCTTCTCCATAATTTTTAAACTTTTGTATAGCGCTAAAAATAATCAATTGCAGCTCTTTTGATGTTGGTTTTTGGCCATTTCACAGTCTTATGTTGGGAGATTATTTAGAGCAATCAGAAGTTTGTACACACTGAATATTTTCCAATGTTATAATATCTTTCTCTGGATCATTCTGTTTATCCAAACAGCATCCAATTGGCCTCCTCAGAAATGGTGTAAATGTACTGTCAAAATCCAGCAAGGGAAAGAGTCCAAATAGCAGGTGGTGGCCCTCAATCCCTCAAGGAGCTTGTCTTCATCCTCAAAGTGTGTAAGCTGAAAGATAACTAACAGCAACTGAACAGATGGTGTCCTGACAGTATCCATCTCCAGTTGTCCAAACTATCAGGTCCACATCAAAACTATGAAGCTCATTTATGTCTACAAAACTCAAATTTGTCATGGTGGACATTTGAGTACACTGTCAATGGATTTTCTGAAACTCTGTGCAACGGACTCTTAATCATTTGAAAAAGTTTCACTCACCAGCATGCTGCAGATGGAAATAGTGGCAGCAAATAAAATGATATTGCTTCCTTCACCACTACAGCTTGAGCCCTATATAGATGCCTCATCTGTCTTACTTGCTAGTCATCTACTTAGTCTACTTAGGAGCCCCCGGTGGTGCAATGAGTTAAACCCTTGTGCCGGCAGGACTGAAGACAGACAGGTTGGAGGTTCAAATCCCCGGAGAGCATGGATGAGCTTCCTTTGTCAGCTCCAGCTCCCCATGCAGGGACATGAGGCAAGACTCCCACAAGGATGGTAAAACATCAAACATCTGGGCATCCCCTGGGCAACGTCCTTGCAGACTGCCAATTCTCTCACACCAGAAGCAACTTGCAGTTTTCCAAGTCGCTCTTGACATGAAAAAAAATCTACTTAGTTCTTTCATTGTCCACAGCTTTCTAGATATCAGGGAGTCAACATGGCTCGATAGTTGGGACAAAGATATTTGGGAGTGACTATATAAAAATCCTGATCAGAGACCAATCTTGTTGGCAGAATAAAGGGCAGATATTCAACTCATTTGACGTGATCAAGGAGATGTTGTTCTTCTATATTGTGGTCATTGCATCCTCCTATTTCTCAAGCCATCCTGATCCCAGTCAGGGTTGGCTTGATGCACCTTCCTCTTGGCACATTTCTCCCTTTCACCCTCCATTCATGCCTCTTCAAATTCAGCATCACTGCTGGTCACATCTGACCTCCAGTTAGAGCTCTCAAGGGCTAGGGCTTCCCAGTTCTTGGTGTCTATGCCACAGAAATTGAAGTGCTATGAAAGTGGCAAAATCAGTTTGTCCAAGAACCTGCTTAATGAGAAAGTAATCGATGTAAAATTTAGAGTGACAGCTCTAGCATACTACATCAGTTATTGGTTGTATGCATCTGTGTTCATGCATTGGTGCAATGCATTTCAAAGTATATATCAAAACTGGTAGAACATTGTGTTTCTTGCTAAGATTTCCAGAAATTTCTGTTTATGTAGAAAATTCATGTTTGCCTTGTTAATATCATTTTGCCCCCTTCTTCCAGAGTAATAATAGACAGAGTAGCTATCTCAGACTGGCAGCTGATGAGAACATATTGTTTTCCTTTTATTTTGTGAGCAAATTAATTTTACTGTGAAAAATCCCAGATTGATAAATGAGCTGCCGGATGTCTGAAAGCTTAGTGTTTATCCATAGGACAGATAATGAATTGAAAAAAGAACAGTGCAAGCTTCACAAGCTCACACCCGAGGAAAGATGTCTGTGATATTCCTTGCTTTCACATTGATATGTTCTGAATCTAAGCAATTGGTTTCCATCTCACAGAGGTAGTGAGCATGCTCTGGGGTTTCTTTCAATTTTTTAAGGAAGTCTAGTATTTGTCACCTGGAGTATCCCAAACCATCCCCCAAATGGATTCAGGATCTTGGAAATTTCCTTCAAGATTCATTATCCTATTGGCGTGGAAGCCTCTAGCACCAATTCCAAAGAAGCCATATACTTGGCAGCTGCCCGCTGACTTCAGGATTCACAATTGTACAATGCAAGCATTTTTCCTAGAAATGTGGAAGTCGAATTCTTATAATTACGTTTCTAAAGCTGCAGCTGTAAAGACGCTTACTGGAGAATAAATTCCATTGGTTATAATGGGATTTACTTTTATGCATGGGATAAGGCCATAAGTGAGCAAGCCAGAATATTTCCAGCAAAGGGATGTTGTAAATTTGAACTAACCATTAGTAATGTTCAGCTGGACTTTAAAGGCTGGTTGTAAGAACTGTGTTAGGAGGGCTCCAGAGGCTTCATATTAACCTTTATTTCATTTGCTGCTTTCCCGAGATACAGAACAGCACCGATTGTCCACAGATTGTGCCTGCCCCTCTTGCTCCTGTGTCAACCGGGGCTTCCCAGGACATTGCCATCACCTTGATGAATGCAGCTTTTATAAAGGTAATGAACTAGATGGGCATTGTCAGCTAAACAGATGGATTCTACATTTTCATTGCAAGTCAGAAAACAGACTGTTAATGGAGAACCAATCCCAGTTTATAACTAAAATCAAGATTATATACAACTTTTGTTTCACTCCTTTCCTAATAGCAGAAATAGCCATCACAGTATGGTTACCTTAATAGAAAACAGTCACTTTGACAAATGACTGGGTGGCCTAAAATAAATGGGGAGGGGGGAGTGTGTTCTGTCCTTATGCAGACATTAACTAGGGAACTGTTACGTGTAATTCAAGAACCTTCATGATATTTATACAGTGCATGCATTTATAATATTGTAAAACTTTCACTAGAATAGGTTGTTTTGGGGGAAATCAACTTCATGCACTTAACCCCCCCCCCCCATTTCAGTCAGTGAACTTTGCAGGTGTGCCGCATTGCTCATGGGAGAAAATATACCAAGCCTCATTCATTGCAATGCTACAAGGCCCATGTATGAGAAAGAAAGTGGGGGGGGGGGCACTGTTTCAAAAGGAGCAAGTTGCAAAATCAATGTTTGTAACTGGATCACGACCAAAAATGAGGTCATGATTTGTTTCTTCTCTGCGAATCATAGTGCTGCTCCTGCCTTACTGCTCTGAGCTGTACAATGCATTATTCAATACAAAGATTCATAATAATATAAACATGTTCACTGGAATGGGGTGTTCTCTGAAGGACAGAGTCCAGCACTTGCAGAGCTTTTATACAGCTCAGACCAGTTGTGGGAAAAGGAATGGTAAAACCACAAAAGGATGTTCCTCAGCTGCAGATCCAACAGTCACCCTTACTCAACTGTCTGGTCCGGTTGTTCTCAACCTGTGGGTCCCCAGATGTTTTGGCCTTCAACTCCCAGAAATTTTAACAGCTCGTAAACTGGCTGGGATTTCTTGGAGTTGTTGGCCAAAACATCTGGGGAACCACTGGTCTAGTCCAGTGAATCCCAAATCTTGGTCCTCCAGGTATTTTGGACTTCAACTCCAAGAAGCCCTAGCCAGATTGTCCAATAGCAAGGAATTCTGGAAACTGAAGTCCAAAAACCTAGTCGACCACAGTTTAGGAGCCACTCATTTATGGTGTTACCAATAAAGGTTAATATACTAAATATCCTGCCTTAAGCATCTTTGTTTCCTCTCAAGTTGCTGGAAGAGGTGAGCCAGAGCTGGTTTGTGTTCTTGATCACAAAATGCTCAGAAAGAAGGGTTTTGTTAGAAAGAAAGCAAATGGTTAAATGGAACTTCCATGTTCTATAATGGTTTATGCTCTTAAATGACATAGAGTTGCAGTTCCGATTTATGTGTAGGCTTGCCCCAAAAAAACAATTCCCATGCGTACAATTGTGTGTGCACGTAGCCTCTCCTTTTTTCTGTTCAGAGCAAAAGAGTGCTTCAAAAGCTTCTTAAATTGCCTTTATTGACAGTTTTTTGAAGCTATAGCAGTACCCAACAGAGGAACTTAACAAGTCGCAGACAAAGGCTCAGTTTGCTTGCAACACCAGCAAAGGAAACTCTTTGTACTGTAGCTTTATTACAGTTTCTTCCCTGAGGTCTGGCACTAGTAAATAAGGATGTGCCACTACATTGTCAGCAGAAAAGAAGAGGAAAAAACCCTGGCTTCCTTTGGGGTGCTGCAAGGTGACTACAGAGGAAGACATTCTGTGTGTAACTTGATAAGAGGTGGAATAAACAGGAAAGCTACCAAAGAACAACCTCAGTTCCCAAATGACAACTCCAGACAACCACTTTACAGTCTGGCTTTCTCTCAGCCTGTCTGTAATAACAAAAGGAAAATTATTCGACTCATGATTGCTTTGAATATGTGTACAAACACTTTGCAAACAAAAGTCAAATACATTTGTAAACCATTTAACCATAACTCAAGAATGTTCCACTCAATTAATAGCAAGCAGCATTATTGTTGTTGTTGTTTTCAAGTTAAGACTTTTGTAGTGTGATTGTCAACATGCTTCTTCCCTTTGATGAAGACACCCCCTTGTTGTCAACCCTAAATGACAGCCAATTGTGCCCCGTGGATCGATTTGGATGAAACACTGTCTTGGTGCAGTTGCAGGCAGCCTGATCATATGTAACCCTGACCCTTCATACATTTTCTATTCACATACCACAAATCACCATTTATTCTCTTTGGGGAAATTGATAGAATGACAATGCAGTGGCAGCTAGAGTGTTCACTTTTCTCTTAAAAGCAGGGGAGGAAAAGCTGCTGTCTCCAGTCCCACATATGACAGCTTCTTAAAGAAGGTTTGTTGTTTTATTTTTGTTTTGAAAGCACAGCTGCCATTTTTGTGCGAAGCACTCAGGTGAACAGATGGATCAGTTTAGGCCTCCACACCTGGATTCATGCCTGTGTCAGGAATGCAACATCCCTCCAGGAATTTAAAATAGATATCAAAGCTAGATCAACCATGTTTATTGAGTTGTCAGAATGGAGGTGACTGCATTGTTTGACAGCCTGCTTCACAACAACACCAACAACACCAAACCCCGCCCCACCCCTCCAAAAAAAACCAACATGTTATTGAGAGCCTGATCTCTTGTATCTGGTTACTTGTGCCCCCAGTATCTGCTGCGTTTTGGGTTCAGAACCTCTGATGGATACCAAAATATTTGGGTCCTTAAGTCCCATTATATATAATGACATAGTAAAATAGTAAAATAGCCAGAGAGAGCAGTAGGCTACAGCAGGGCAAGCCTATATGCTAGTATAATGCTTAATACATGGCAAAATCAAGGCTTTCTTGCAATATATTTTATAATTATTTGATCATAGTTGTCATTTTTTTAGCTATATGTACCATGTTTTGTGTTCACCTTGCTTATTTTTATTGTTATAGACTTATTTTTGACAGTGTCTGCGTTTTTGTTATTATTATTTGCTTCTATTTTCTTTGTTACAAAGAACTGAGTCTCTTTGGAGAGAGGAAGAGGGATCTAAATAAAGCATTATTGTTGTTGTTGTTGAATTTTATTCAGAATATTTTGAGCCATGGTTGGTTTAGTCTGTAGATGCAGAACCAATTGATGCAGACTGTCAACTGTAATAGGAAATTGTAGCATGTTTTCCTTCTCCTGGGGTATTTGAGGCCCATAAGAGTCCTTCTTTAGCAACACAACATCAGGTAAAGTCACTCCTGTTCACTAAAATGATCCTGAGGGGCAAATCATGGCAAAAATTATCCCCACATCTTTTAGAGTGTATTTTGAGGTTGTTTTTTTTTACTCATGAAGGCCATAAAATTGCCTCTCCATGCCATTTAGTGTATATTTTGAGATCAATTTGCTCACCTCTGTTTTAGGACACCCTAGAAAATGTTTCTGTATATCTAAGGACACACATCATATCTTACATGTTTCTGTAGAGTATGGTGAATGAGGAACTACAATGAGTCACATGTTTAGCATTCTAATTTCTCACACACACCAGTTTTCCAAGCCTGCTGTGGAGATTTATAGTCCATTTAATGAGAGTTTATAACTGAAACACCATCCTACGCTTTCAAATCATGCATCCCTGCAATAGTGCAGCCTCTTAGTGGTATTGACCTTCTAGTTCAGAAACAGCAAGACCAAAATTAACTTCCCTTAAACTTCATCAAGTTTATTAGGCCTAATGAACTGCATTAAATAAGTTACTGTTCTTGATATTACATTTAAAATGTTCAGAATTTTTTAAATCAGTGATGGGTGTTATATACAGGCAGTCTCCGAGTTACAAACCTCCAACTGACTCAGAGTTAAGAACAGGGATAAGACAACAGGAAGTGAGAGAAATCTACTCCCAGAAAGGGAAATTCACTCCTGAAAGAGTTAGACATGGGGCTGCCTTTGAAAACTACTCGGAATCTTCAATTAGTCCAATGGTCGGCAGCCAGGTTGCTAACGGGAGCGGCGTACAGGGAGTGAACCACTCCTTTGTTACATCATCTTCACTGGCTGCCGATTAGCTTCCGGGCACAATTCAAAGTGCTGGTTTTAACCTGGCCCAGTTTACCTGTCCGAACGTATCTCCTGCTATGAACTATCTCGCAGCTTAAGATCGTCAGGAGAGGCCCTGCTCTCAATCCCGCCACTCTCCAAAACCCGGTTGGTGGGGGATGAGAGACAGGGCCTTCTCAGCAGAGGCCCCCGTCTGTGGAATCCCTCCCTAAGGACATCAGGCTGGCCACCTCCCTTCTGTCCTTCAGGAGACAACTGAAGACCTGGCTGTGGGACTAGGCATTCGACTAGAGACCAGAAGACAATGGCAGCTTGGAAAGGAAACTTGAATATTATGACATTATGACATTGGAATTGTTTGGCTGGATCTTGGTTTTAGCAACATGTTAGTTGAATGTTAAATGAATTTTTTGATGATTCTTTATTATTATTTCATTTATTTCATATATTTATATCCCGCCCTTCTCCCCAAAAGGGGGACTCAGCGCGGCCTCACATGAGCATCAGAGGATGCTAACAGCATAAATACAATAAAAATTACAATTTACAATAAAATCATTTTAAAATATTATACTACATCATCCATAAAATTTAACAATAAATTAATAGATTAATGTGCCAATAAAACTAAGCCGAGTCAGGAGAATCCGTATCGCAAAATCCAATTTCCCTTTTTCTATTGCCGCTGGTCTCTAATTGAACGCCTGGCCCCAATGCCAGGTCTTCAGTTGTCTTCTAAAGGACAGGAGGGAGGTGGCCAACCTGATATCCTTAGGGAGGGAGTTCCACAGACGGAGGGCCACTGCCGAGAAGGCCCTGTCTCTCGTCCCCACCAACCACGTTTGCAAGAGTGGTGGGATCGAGAGGGCCTCTCCTGATGATCTTAAGCTTCATGATGGTTCATAGCAGGAGATACATTCGGACAGGTAATCTGGGCCAGAACCGTTCAGGACTTTAAAGGTTAAAACCAGCACTTTGAATTGTGACCGGAAGCTAATCGGCAGCCAGTGGAGCTGACACAACAGAGGAGTGGTACGCTTCCTGTACGCAGCTCCAGTTAACTACCAGGCCGCAGACCGCTGGACTAATTGGAGCTTCTGTGAAGTTTTCAAAGGCAGCCCCTTAGAGAGTGTTGCAGAAGTCTATTCAGGATGTAACCAGAGCGTGGACCACCGTGGCCAAGTCAGACTTATAATGTTTTAATTGAGCTTTACTGTTTTTAATTGAATGTATATGACGAGGAAAAGGGGTCTCCACTGAAACTTTATCACCAATTCTTGTCTCCACAACAAGCCAAAGTTTTCAAAATCCAATTATTACAGGGTCAGAAAGTGAGGTGAAATCTTCTGAACAGGGGCACAGACAGGAAAGCAAGTACACAGGGGTATTAACCCTTCCATATGCTATCTAAAGCTAATGCAATATAAGACACTATAATATAATATAAGGCAATATAATATAATAATATAATATAATATAATATATATAGGGCTGGAGTTACACTTAAAAATGTACCTGTTTCAACTTAAAAGCACATTTAATTTAAGAGCAAACCTACAGAACCTATCTTGTTGTAACTTGTGCAAAGATCTTATTTGTTTTTAACTGCAAAAAATTAAGTATATTGGTATGTAATTGCTGCTTGTCTTGCCATTATCCAGGATATTCCTTTGGAATGCCACTTTGAAACCGACAGGATATTTGAGGCCCATTGGGTGAATGCATCTGCTGTTCTGTGCAGCAATGTGCAGGTGAGTTTTTGGTTAGTGGTATTTCTCATCTCTTTTAAAGTCTGCTTTGCATATGATTGTGATACAGCCATAGTCTATATGCCTCCTGTTTTATTCAGTCAGATCCTTGGTCTCATTATCTGGGTCTATGAGCTCCAGCATTATCATAAGTGCATTCAGTCCCAGGACTTTTAATTCTCTTTCTAAAATAATTATCAAGTAATGGTGGATCATTTGTTCAAAAGGGAAACTCTAGCTGAACAATTACTGTAAAGGCCAATTATACACATAGCTTTAAGCTTCACTCACTACCTGTTGGGTTAGATTTTTTAAAAGTAAAGGTGATCATATTTCCAGGTTTTTCACAGAACATGGAAACTATTCTACTATATTAATTTTGCTTCCAAAGTGGTTTGGTTCTCTGTTGCTGAGTCCTGATTAATAAAGACAGACTACAACCTTTTGTTTGCCCCATCCTCCTGAAATCTGAACCTCATTTTCCAAGAAACATCTTGTTGTAATATAGAACTGCTCTTGTGATGACAGCTATAAAAATGTATATTTTAACACTTCGATCTGATGTTTCATGAACTGAAATAACTCTTTCTGCACTTTCTTCCTACAGCTTCACACTTCAGACAAAAGCCACCTCTTTCCTGTGAACCTTCGACTAAAGGAAAAACCTGGTCGATTTATTGATAGTCCCCAAATGATGACAGGTTCGCTCTAAACATATTTTTCACCTTTTTCTAATTTGGAAAGAATACATTTATCTTAAAAAAGGGTTACAGAAGGCATGGGCAGGCTGTTATGAGTTGCAGGAGTTGAAGTCCAAAACACCTGGAAGGCCGAAGTTTGCCCATGCCTGGGTTGCAGGCTCTTGGCTAGTTGGTACTTTTCACCTCCTAAAGATTCTTCACATATGTCTTAACAGAAATAATGAAATCATACACATGTTACATTTCAAATCATATGAATAATGTATGCAAGCAAATCCTCAAACACTTAAAATGATGGTTACATGTAATCTATCATGCTGAAGGCCGGAGGTTCGAATCCGGAGAGAGCGTGGATGAGCTCCCTCTGTCAGCTCTAACTCCCTGTGCAGTGACATGAGAGAAGTCTCCCACAAGGATGGTAAAACATCAAAACATCCAGGCGTCCCCTGGGCAATGTCCTTTCAGACAGCCAATTTTCTCACACCAGAAGCAACTAGCAGTTTCTCAAGTTGCTCCTGACACAAAAAAAAACTCTGAGAAAGCAGCATAAAGTCCTTTCTGCTTCAGAACTTTGGCCAGAATTCTTGCAAACAGCAGGGACTCAGCAGTCCACTAGAAATTGGGCAGTGGACCACAATCCACTTCCTGTTCAGGTTGTATTGGCTACAGTCTGCATAAGGCAAGGAGAGCAACTTGTGGCTGAACTGTAACTTCCAAAAGTTCCTCACTATTATCTCTGCTGGATTTTGTTGCTGGGAGCCCCAGCCCGACAACATACGAAAATCCATAAGTTGTTGAACTGACTTAAGTAATTCAGGTATATTAGGGATGCTCCGCTATTTTGTGCTCAAATATTTCACATTGTATTTCCTTTACTCTGCTTTTTCTCAATGACCTCATCCAGAATCACTCTTGCTTATCTGCAATATCCAGTATTGCTCCTCATTGTACTTGGGTCAATGGAATATATTCGCTAAAGTTAAGCACTGTTAAACCCCATTCATTTCGGTATATTATTAATTGGAATCAGTCTCCTTATCAAAGAACTGGAAGGTAGCCAAGAAACGAGGGCTCAGTCTGCCAAATTTTGCCTCAAGTTAAGACATTGTTATGGCTAGAACTAATTATATATATAGGAACATAGCTTACCTGTCTGATAGAGAACCGGTATGGCTTTTTCAGCATGAGGAAGTCTTAATTATTGAGGGGTGGATTTAGAATTCCTTAAGCATAGTAGAAACTGTAAAATATTTAGGTTTTCAAAAAGGTTTTAATAAAGCCAGCTGTAGAAGTTGCAATTATATTCATGATAACTGTGATGTGTGTATATACAATATGTAATTAACCTGTGAAGCCCAAACCAAATAGAAACTTACTCTAGTCCCATTGAAATGAATGGCTTTAAATTACTGTAATTGTGACTGTTCCCATTCAATATTTTTATCAAAATCAATGGAGTTTGATTTCAATGGAGTTTACATAGAAATGGGTTTCTTTGGGTAAAATGTAATTTATTAGTACAGGTTACACAAGGACCTCTAGCTTAAATATGGTTTACATTGGGACTTTAATGTTGTTGCTGATACAGTTCTTTTTCAGCATGATTGGAACTTTCTCAAACTACTGTCCTCATCTGTGAAACTTAGTTATGTTGTATTACAGCAGTGGTTCTCAACCTGTGCATCTCCAGATGTTTTGGCCTTCAACTCCCACAAATACTAACATCTGGTAAACTGGCTGGGATTTCTGGGAGTTGTAGGCCAAAACACCTGAGACCTCACAGGTTGAGAACCATTGTATTACAGGTTGAACATGCCTTTTCCAGAATTTCAAAATAGACCAAAATTAAAAATTGCCCACATGGGTGTCTGAGACAGTGACACTTTTGATTTGTAATGGTTCCGTGTACAGAAACTATATTTCATGCACAAAATTATTGTATAAAATTCCCTTCAGTTGTATATGAAATATAAATGAATGTTGTGTTTTGATTTGGGTTCCGTCTCCAAGATATCTCATTCTGTATATGCAAATATTCCAAAATCTGGGAGGGGGGATCTGAAATCCTTAATGTTCCTAGTCTCAAGCATTTTGAGTAAAGGATGCGCAACCAGAGTATCTCTCAAACTAAGCACCTTACAAGAAAACAAGAATCATTGCTATTGCTGTTATTTCAAAGCCAAAGAAGGAAGTTGTTTTTGCATAGTGCCAAAGTGGCCCCATAACCTATCATTATAAAACAATTGCATGACAATAATAATACTATTAGGTTATCTCTAAGAGTTAAAATGAATAAATGCATTCACAAAACATTGGTTAATATACACAAACACACACACACACATATATATATAAATAATACACCTCTGACTGTAAGAATCTGAAGGTAATAAAACTCAGTATATACTATGCCACTGACAAATATTGAATGCTTTAATAGACAGATTTTTGTAGCAGATTTTAACAGGATGCTAATCCATATCATTTATCCTCAATTATTAAAGAAGATCTCCCTCCGATCATGATCATTTGATGGTCACTTTCTGTGTGATTTAAATTTGTTCTACAAAAATTAATATAAATATTTCCTGATACAATGTACAGAGTTTACCATCTTTCAAGGGCAAAAAACTCCAAATTGAGATAAGAAGGTAGTCATAAACGTCTAATGGGAAGGTTAAAAGACAGTGAAACAAAGACAGGCAGATATAAGGGAACTAAACAGTCTCCCACTTGGGGGAAATGATGGGGAAATGCCAGGCATGATATCTATCATTGTAGTCTTGAAAACTTGCACTTTTTAACTAGCTAAATGGAGTCAACTGCATCTCTTGTGGATAGTTAGAATTTTGAAAATGCAGTACAAATTGTCAGAGGGCTTTGTTTTTTGTCTTCCAAGTACTAAATTATGCTGCTGTGGGAATGAGTGCTGAGAACTTCTGGGAAATCTTTAGGAACACAGCCAAAATTCTCTCCAGCTAATACTATGTCCAGACTCTTCTGTCTGTATGATTTTAATGTTACAGTGCCCAGGGAAGGGGTTATTCTTGAACACCAAAGTCATTTAGACAACTATTATAGGCTGTGTTGTCCTTTTTTCCCAGTGGAGATTTATAATTGCGCGACTGGAAGTGCTGACTGTTCTCAGTGTCTTGGGAGAGAAGATCTGGGTCATCAGTGCATTTGGAGTGACAGTAGTTCCAGCTGCAGACTAAACACAGAGGTCCTCCAGATCCCAGGACCATGCCCTCCTCCTGAGATTAGGAAGGTAAGACTTGAGTTTCGGTACAGAAAAAGGCATTTTGCCACCACTGCAAATTTAACGGGATTGTGAAATTTGAGACTAAAGAAAGAGTAACAAAGACACCATCTTTGGGCAAAACTGAGACATTTGTTGTCCTTTGTTGGTGGTGAGATAGGACTCGCTCAAAGCCAACCTTAAAAACTCTGGCATAGATACTGAGAACTGGAAAGCCCTGGCCCTTGAGCGCTCCAGCTGGAGGTCAGCTGTGACCAGCAGTGCTGCAAAATTTGAAGAGGCACAAATGAAGGGCGAAAGAGAGAAATGTGCCAAGAGGAAGGCATGTCAAGCCAACCCTGACCGAGACCGCCTTCCACCTGGAAACCAATGCCCTCACTGCGGGAGAAGATGCAGATCAAGAATAAGGCTCCACAGTCACCTACGGACCCACCAGAACACTGATCCTGGAAGACTATCCTACTCGGCCAACGAGGGATTGCCTAAGTAAGGGGTCCGCATTCCTGTCTTTACAGCAAATACATTAGGCTAGTTGTAAATGACAGAATGAATGCAACTGTGGAATACCATTGAATCCTTTGGCAAAACAATAGAGGATCTTAGATCCAAACTTCAAAGGAGGTATCTTCTGAAAGCAGAGAGTTTAAGATGGTAATGCAAACATTTTCATGACATTAATGAAACCCTCACTCCTCTAAAGCTGGTAGAAATTTTGTTATTGGGCAATGTGGAGTCTCTCTGTTTTTTTAAAAAGGCCAGTTTATCCATATAGAGTTGGACCTTTCAAATACTGAGCTTCATCCAACAACAAAAAAACCAAAACATTTTTAAATTCAATTGATTTCAGTGGAAGAATGAATTGTAGAGCCAGACAGGAGAGTCTAATTATGGAATAGAATAAAAAAAATACATTTAATAGCCTGAAGAACCATTTCACACAGAGCAAATTGCCCAAATGTAAATAAATAGTTTAAGAATGCATCCACGTGTGAATGGAAACACATGAGAAGTGTCTGTATGTCTTCAAGCGTGCCAGCACTTGCAGCTGGATTTCTCAAGACATGTAATTGTGGTGATGCATTTCCGTGTCATAGTTGACTGGGGAAATGTTAACAGATACTTTTACAGAAGTGATTTCTGAATAGAAAATCATTATCATGTGAATCAGCTGTAAGCAAACAGATAAAAAACAATAATATAACCAACTGAAGAGAGGTAATAAACAAATTTAAAGCTGGAGGTGAGTAGGATTCCACTCTATTCATAATCCGGTACAATGATTATAGTCTGTTCCAGTTTTTCAGCCCTGACAGGGAAGCAGAAATGGTGTCAGCTCCATTGTACAGTAAATTTAACCTTGGATTCTGTGCCAAAAACAGCTAGTGAAAACAAACAAGGGAAACTGAGGTTATAACTTGTCATGAGATTGGTGCTGTTTCCTTAGATTGGATTCCTTCAATCAAAACTGTTTGTTTTTAAAAAGCAAGCTTTTTTAAAAAAATGTCTATGGAGTTGTCTTGGGACCAGGGAGACAAGCACTGTTCTGCTGGAATGGGCACTGAGCTGAGCAAGGGGACATTATCAGCCCTGCGCAGCTTGGCGGAAGAAGGGGCCTCCACTCCTGACCTTCTGCTCCTTGGCTTATGTCACTCGGTGTTGGCAGCAGCAACACTGAATGGCAAGCTGCAGCTTCACTTAACTGTACTTTGAGGAAGGAAGGCTGCTGTTCCTGTGCAGCTTCCACTGGCTTGATTTTTGTATGTTTGCTGCAGTTTAAAAGGCCCTTTCTAAAAGTAGGGCATTAAACTGGACCAGATGTCCAATGAAATCAGCATGGCTTTGTAACTGGCTGCAGGAAGAATTGGGGAAAATGGAACATCCCTTGAATATACTACAGAATGCCATTTCAACCCCTTGCCATCACATTTAACACTGTAGCCTCATTTTTAAAAAGTGGATTTCAGGGTTTCAATGAAAATCCTCTCAATAATAATTAGGCAGTCTTCTTTCTGAACTGATGACTGCAAATTATATACAAAAGCAAGAATCCATTTAGGGCTATTATATTTGTATTATTCATCGTGATGGTGTTTAAAGTGCCCAGTGTTGCAAATTACTGAGTGGAGCCGATAAGCATTGGTCATTAGCAGCCCAAGGTCAAGGAGCTGAGAGTGTCAGTGAAGAATTGTTGAGATTCATTTCCAGGTTTTGCTGGAATCAAGGCCAAGTCTCAGCGTTGGCAAGGGCATCTCCAAGATGGAAGCACTTGTTCCAGCACCTGAACTGTGTTTGCCATTCACCTTTTCTATAGAGGCTGATTGCCCAGCAAGAACAGCCAGATATCTTCACTTTTTATGCCATGCTTGGCTTCCCCTCAAAAACTCTCATGCTTAGTTTAGTCATATTTGCTGATGTTTTTAGAGGGAGGCACAATCTAGTATAAAGAATTTCTAATATTAAAATTATTACTATTTCCTATTGATCAAAATATTAGAATCATAGAATTATAGAGTTGGAAGAGACCTCATGGGCCATCCAGTCCAATTCCCTGCCAAGAAGGAGGAAAATCTCATCCAAAGCACCCCCAACAGATGGCCATCCAGCCTCTGTTTAAAAGCCTCCAAAGAAGGAGCCTCCATCACACTCCGGGGCAGAGAGTTCCACTGCCGAACAGCTCTCACAGTCAGAAAGTTCTTCCTAATGTTCAGGTGGAATCTCCTTTCCTGTGGTTTGAAGCCATTGCTCCACATCTTAGTCTCCAGAGCAGCAGAAAATAAGCTTGCTCCTCCTCCCTCGTTTGCTTCTACTTTCCTAAAGTGTGCTGCAAAATTTTAAGGAATGTGTATTTGAGGTATATTCTCAATGGTGTATGAAAGTGTGTCGATGTGAAGTGAGAAGTGTCATAAAATTAAAAGCAGAATATGCCTTCCAATCATATGGTTTGTTTTTATTCTGTAGAACAAGGAGCACCAAAAAAATCCAGATATACTTATATACCCAAGCATCAAATTAAATGCCCCCTCCCCCCATGTCTTTGTTTTAACCCATCTTCATCAACTTTCTTTTGAACTTTCAGATTGAACCCTTGAACGGACCCTTGGAAGGAGGCACCTTGGTTACAATACGAGGAAGAAATCTAGGCCGTAGATTCAGTGATATCGCTAATGCTGTCATAATAGGTAACGTGAAATGCACGCCACTCCAAGAAAGATACATCGTCTCTGAAGAGTAAGTAATTCAAGTGAAAAGAAAGCATTTTTGGTCTCCCCCCTTTCAGCTGATTGACCAATTCCAATGGTTTTTCTTTGCTGATGTGTATCTCTAGGAGGAAATGTTACCATAACATAAATTCTTCCTGGGAAAGAGCACTGAAATAACAGGAAGTGGCTTTCTAATTGGTACCAAGAATCTCTAGTAAATTCTAAGCTTCCTTCTGTCTTTTTCAGATAGATCCAGCAGATTAAAGTGGCAGGCACAATCAAACCTTGACATTGTGTTGCAAATGGGAAATTTCACCATTGCTTTCTAATGTTTCACTAGCTTCTTGTGCATTATATGTTTTGTAAAGTTGTCTTTATTATCAATGCAAGACAGGCATCGGGGAGCAACTGAGGTGATTGTCTTCATCCTACTTTGAAATGAAATTATCTATGAAAGCTGAGGGAAAATGCACACGATAATTTCTTACAAAAGCGGTACTGGCAGGCCTTGAACGAAGGCTGCCAAGATCAGCCGATCACATGATCTAGAACAGCTTTGCCTTGAGGCATCCTGTTGATACAAACAACATAGCAATGTCTAATTTGGGAAGAAACCGAGATTTCTCAAGGAAATAGCTGGGCATAACAACTATTAAAAAGATTATATTTTCAGTTGAGGAATGGGAAGAAATATCTAGGCTGTTCAGATATGTTCTGCATTTAATGTGTGTCCGCAACCATATTTTCATATAATTGTGTGCTTGGTCCTATTATGAGAATAGTGAACTTTTTATCTTGGGTTTCGCCCCTGAGATAAGTACATTTGGGGTTTCTTTGAATGAAAGGCAGCCTTATTAAGTATTCATTTTCTCTCAGCAATCACAAGAAAGTATTCCAAAAAATGTCCTTAATCTTGGGCACTGTTACAACTTATTTTGCTTTAGCAGAAAGGTTTATAAAGTTTTGACTATAGCAATAATATATAGAATGATGTTATTACTTTCTTGTGTGGTGCAGAGAGGACATTTCCAACCTTGGTTAATGGTAGCTCTTTGCATTATCCTACAGAAATGTCCATCCATTTTGCTGGGATTTTGTTGCTGCTGTATTTTTGCTTTGTTTTAAGGCAGAGTGGTTGACATCAATAATACAGTAGAGCATATACATGTGCCTACATGCATGTACAAGGAGTTATTAGTGCCCATTTTCAGCTTGGTGTTATTGTTATTTACTATTGAAATTGCCTGAATAAATTTGTAGTCCCAAGAAGAAAATGCATGTCTGGAAAAGATATGTGTGAACAATAGCACTGGGATGTGAAAGAACAAATTAAAAATGCGAAACATTTATTAATTAAAGAACGACAAAGGTTGAACACACCGTGCATACCTCATATCAAATTCCAAATGCAAGCAGACCATAAACTGAAACGACAAGATAATGTATTTTAATGAAAACACATATTTATATTGCCTGTTTAGTTTTCTGAACTAACTATATTTTCCCTATAGCCAAAATAATGGCATTGTGGGGGGGGGGGGCTTTTCGTGACTCTATTTTCAAGATGTAAACATTTTTCAGTTGTAAGAATTGTTCCTAAAAATCTATACAATTCCAAATTCTAACTAGAGTAAACCTATTTATGTATCTATTGTGTCAGAAGTGAATTGAGAATACAGTTATAACGTATAGAAAAAACACAAAGTTAAAAACTTGACATTATACTAAATTTCCTTTGACCAAAAGCTGGCCACTTCGAGTGCCACTGGTGTCACAGTAAGAGTAAACCCATTAAATCAATGGACCTTTCATAAGTATTGACTTACCAGTTCCAGTTGATTCAGTAGGTCAACTGTGGTTGGGTCATGCAAATTGATTTAGAAGAAAGGGTTAGACATAGAGCCCTTCTACACTGCCATATAACCCAGAATATCTAGGCAGAAAATCCACAATATCTGTTTGAACTGGATCATCTGAGTGTACACTGCCATATCATCTAGTTCAAAGCATATTATCTGGATTTTATATACAGCTGTGTAGGGCTCCTTCCACACAGCTGTATAAAATCCACATTGAGATGGATTTTATGGTAGTGTGGACTCAGATAATTCAGTTCAAACAGATTTTGTGGATTATCTACCTTGATATTCTGGGTTATATGTCTGTGTGAAGGGACCCTAGAGAATCCGCTTTGTCCAGATTCTGAATTCTGTATGTCTACTGTACACTACTTCAGGTTTAGTACATTATAAATAGGGAAAGATTAATGAAAGATTGTTACCATGATAAAATGGTGCTGTATTCAGTTTCTTACAAAGACTTAGCTCCTCTCATTCATCCACCGTGAATCCTGTAAGTGTGATTCTTTGGGAAAGCCCATGCCTAAATATTAGGAAAGAAGCAATAAACCAATGGCTGTAGCACCTGCTTTGCATGAATCCTTTTCATCTCTAAGTAAAGCCAAAAAGAAAACCCTCTTTAGACCCCAAAAGGCTACTGCAAGGCAGTGTTCACAGTACTAGGCTAAATGAACCAGTGGTCTAATTAATGTCTATGATTAGGAATCTTTTTGTAGAATGATCAGCTCCTTGAATAGTAAGTACACAACATCATATGAAAAGTGGCTCTGACTCCAATTTGAAGCTTTTTGTCAGATAATGTAAATATAGGAAAAACTTTAAAAGAGTCCTAGAGATAATATTTTTAATAAAATTCATGAATAATCAATTAGTCATATTTTATTTCTAAATTGCAATCTCTCTCTCTCTCTCTCTCGCTTTCTTCCCCCTATAGAATTGTATGCTGGACTGGAGAAGCTGTAGCAGAATTTTCTGATGTGGTGACAGTTAATCTAAGCAAAGAAGGAAAATCCAGAGAACGGTACTCTTATGTGGTAAGTAATTTCTCATTTTTGCCAAAGTTAGAAATTTTCATTTTGTCACTGGAGAAAATGTACATATCTGGAATAATATCCAAAGAAGGGTGACCAAGTTGATCACAGTTCTGGAAACTAACCTGACTTAGGGAACTGTGTGTTTTCAGCTTGGGGGCCTTCCACACATCCCTATATTCCAGAATATCAAGGCAGAAAATCCCACAATATCTGCTTTGAACTGGGTTATCTGAGTCCACACTCAGATAATGTGGGATTTTCTGCCTTTATATTTTGGGATATAGGGTTGTGTGGAAGGGGCCTGGAAGAAGAAAAGAATGAGAAGTGACATGATAGTTAAATATCTGAATGAATATCATATCAACGAAGGAGCAAACCTGTTTTCTGCTGCTCCAAAGACTAGAACATGAAACAAAAGAAATGACAATCAGAGAAAAAAATATTCATCTAAATATTAGCAAAAATATTTTTTACTTGTATGAGTGGTTCGACAGTGGACTAGTCTGGCTTGGGAGGGCAATGGACCATTTTGGGAGTTTAGGAGGAGTTTGGATAGGCATCTTTCAGGACTTCTATAATTGCATGGCAGGAGGTAAGTTCTTTTTGGTCCCTTCTAGACTTGAAATTCTAACACCTACGTTTAAAGAAATGTGAAGCTGTTATCGAAATGGTATACTTGAGTGCTATGGTGCTTTGAGCAAAAAGCAGTGTGTGTAGTGGTTTGAATGTTGGACTAGGGCTGCAGGAGACCAGGGTTTGAATACCTGCTCAACCATGGAAAGCCATTTAGTGATTATGAACAAGTCATACATTCTCAACCTGAAACAAGGTTTCAGCAACTCTACTATGATAAATCTTGCCAAGAAGACTCTGTGATGGGGTTGCCATAAACCAGAGTCAACTTTACAGAGCAGAACAACAACAATGATGTTTTGAAAATAGATATATCTATGAACATTTGAAATTTTAAATTGATTTTGATATGAACTTAACTTCTTTTACTTAGCAAAAACTCTTTCTGTAAATTTTACATAGAAGCACCAAGTCATCAAGATATGTGCAATTCAGCAATCTTATTAGAGCTCTTAAAAATGAAATCTGCCATAGAATGTATTACAGTGATGAGCACAGAGCACATAAAGGAAAAAAAGGATATTTGAGAACTATTGATAGTGCAACAGGAACTTACATAATCAGGAAACACCTGAAGTGCTTACATTAATAACACTCTGCAACATGATTTTTGTTTCTGGGTTATAAATGTAATTTCCTAATTGGTTTACATACATTAAAACAGGTACAAAATTCACATTACTAAAACAATTCAAAATTAAAATACAATTTTTGATATACTTCAAAACAAATTTGTAATAACTCCATTTAAAAAGCATAAAATACAAACAATAAAACATAAAATACTCTGTCCCTAATAAGGAGGTCATTCCCAAGATCTATTGGGAGCAGGAGGTGCTTTGCTGTGTTAAGAAATACATCACGAATGTAGGGGATGACAAAGGAGGCAATTTAGCTTCTTCAGAATCTGGGAGCAGCCCCCAAGAAGGGTTATTCCCATGTTTTCACCACATCTGAGGGGGATGGAACAATAAAAAGGATGTACCTTGAAGGTGTCAAAACCTGGGAGGGTCTTGCAGACTACGTTGGTGTGTCAGCTAGATCTCTTCCTAGACTTCTAGACATAGTGATTTATACCATATTTGTCTCCTGATTTGACTACAGTCAGCCATTCACATTTGCTGGGCATAAGGACCCAGGACGCACATGAAAGTGATTTCCCACAAGTAAATAAATTGCTTTTTTTTTTTACCTCAGAGCATATCTTTCTAGTATTTTTTTAGGTTTCCCAGTGTGACTGTAGTCAACCTTCATTAGGAGCTAACGATAGGATCACATTGGATAACTTAGGGCTGAAAACCTGGAAGTAACTGGTATAAAAGGGGATGACTCCATTGCATTTCAACAAACTGCAGGCAGAATTGGGTTAACAGGTGAAAAGCATGTATTAAAAAGATTCGCTTAAAACCCAATTCTGCCCCCAAAATGCACACCTTTGCAGGATTGTGTATCCCTGCAATCATGCAAAACAGGTGCTTGTCTTCCCTTCCCCGTGTGTGGACTGCTCAGTGCAGGTGCGTGATTTAAAAGCCCAAAACAGCTGATTAGTTGATCAGTCTATCGAAAAATGGAACCATGGGCACACAAGTAGCTCAAGGGAAGCGGAATGCGAAAGCAATTAGAACTCTCTGCAAGCATTCATTTATTCCAATCTTTATGATCTTTATCATATTAAACAGAGCTTGAATTAACAATTAGGTGAAGAGAGAAAAAGCCTGCTTGTTGGTTTATTAAGATATATGAGGTCCGGCTCATTACAGAAATAAGTTTTTTAAAAAACGTCTGCCAGATGTTCCCTGTCCACCTTCTATCTTGATCTGCTACAAAGGAATGCTGTGAGGATGATGAGCGACCATTTCCCAGGACTAACAGGTCTGTGTGTGGATCTGCTGTCAGGTCCCGGGATTTTTTTGCCTCAATTTTAAAATGCGCATTTTGGTCCTGTCCGGAAGGGTTTCTCTCTAGAAATCCCCAGGTCATCCAATATAACTAGAGTAAGTTGACCAGAAACTTATAGATTCCTAGAGAGAACATTTTTCATCAAATCAATGTATAATCAAACTGCAAAATTCAAAACAGCAAATGTACAGTGATGACTGTACTGCAATGCACCCTAGGAAAGCATTTGGAAGTTACATCTAATGCAAAATGTGGTGGTTACTGCTGTCCAGTGTGCACATTAGAAACCACATTGTCACTAGTCTTCTACCAATTGCATTGGCTTTCAACCTGCTTTCAAGCTCAATTCAAGGTGATGTACGAGTCAAAATCCTTAAATGGCTTGGGGACAGGAAAACTTCAAGACTGCCTAGATCCATCTGAGTCTGCCTGGAATTTGAGGTCCTCAGAAGAGAGCCTTGTACATATTCCTCTGTCCTAAGAGGCTAGTTTGGTGAGTACTTTCTCTGCCATAGCACCTCAGGCCTCCCAAGAGAAGTCAGCTACTGGAAAGCATCCCAGGCCCCATCTACATTGCCATAGATGGCAATGCAGACTAACTGCATTGAACTGGATTATATGGCAGTGTAGACTCTTACAATCCAGTTGTACACAGTTAATATTCATTTTGAAACTGGATTATATGGCAGTGTAGATCCAGCCCCAGACTGCCCTGTTCCATGCATCTTTTAGTCCTTAAGACCGGGGTGACTTTTCTGGTTGTTTTAATTCCATGTGTTTTGCTCTGTTTTACTTGTTCTTCTGTTTTGGTTCCCTATACGTTGTCAGGTGTCCTGACAGGTGGAAAGGTGAAAAATAAATATCAAATAAATTTTCACCAAAAAGACTGACAAAACGTTTAGGTGACAAATCAATATTAGTAGTAACGTGGTATCATATATACCACAAATACTTCTTAGCTCAAAGACATCAAACAGTGCCACAAAAAGCTCAGGGGAGGGGGAGACCTCTTCCTTCCTAACACATTTTCCAGATAATGTTTACTGAAGGGGATAAAAATGTTTTTAAAACATCAACAAAGGATGCAATTAATAATGCAAGAAAGGGGCAGCTTATAAATATCTAGACCTGCAGTGTTTCCTTTTCCTCCTTACAGTAGATTAGCTGCTTTGTTAAGGAAATCTCAGTCAGATACTGAGCAGAAATGGAAAGCATTTAAGCTTCTATCCTAACATCAGAGCCTTCAAACAAACCTGCTCCCACTTCCTGCAAATGCCCACTTTTCAAGAAAAGAAGGAAACAGGATATCTTTCCATTGTTGTCTCGTTTGACCCTTTAAAATTCTCAGTGTGAAAACGATTACACAAATAATTCTTTTACAAATGTTTTTAAAGGCGCTGTTCCTTTAAAGAGGATTTGAAACGTTCTCTTTACACCAGTACTCTTCTGTTAAAAATAACCTTTCAAAGTTTCAGCGCTACTGTTTATTATGCCCTTCAGTAATAAATGTTGCTGTATGAGATCAAACCAAACTAAAACACAATTGAATCTATTTCTTGTGGCCTGAAAAAGAAAGAGAACTCATGTGGCATTTACTCACCTTTCTTTAAACATGCTTCTGCAAAATTGCAAGGCTAACCAGCAATTTTATTATCTGCCATAAGATACTATTCTTACTATTCAAAGCAGTTAAAATCGACCCATCTGGAAATACAATACACAGTAGGACACAAACAATATAATCTGTGTTTCCTCATTCAAAAATCAAGAATAATTTCTTTGAATATAAGAGAGTTTTAAGCTTTGGGAAAAAAATAAAGTCCTCAAGGAGCATTCTTTTGGAAAAAGAGAAGTAGTCACAGGAATGTGCTGGGGCAACGCTATAGTAGTTAGCCCTACATGTTCATTATGGTTAGGGGCAAGGGACCTTTATGAGAATGGGAAAAAAGGAATCTCTAAGTCCTCCAGCATGACTCTATAGTAGCCACAAGCAAACCTTGGCCCTCCAGGTGTTTTGGACTTCAACTCCCATAAGTCCTAACAGTAGACTGTTAGATATTGTGGGAGTAGAAGTCCAAAACACCAGGAGGGTCTAAGTTCGTGCATGCCTGCTTTATAATGAACATCCACTGACCATAGAATTGTGCTGCAGAATCTAGAGCAGAGCTTTCCAAACTGTGTTTCACAACACCTTGTGTGTCCGCTGCAGTATGTAGATGTGTTATTTCACAGACCTCTGAATATGTAAAATAAACAATAGATATTTCTAAATATCTGTTTTTAAAATATATATAAATGAAAGGTTTTAATGAGATATGCAATGTCCTCGTATATTTTGTTCTTTCAATGTATGTATGTGACTGTCTCTCTTATAAGGGTTTGGTTTAACCTTTGGTTTGCTAGTAAAGGTGTATTACTGAGATCCCTTCCATACAGCTGAATAAAGTCTCACATTATCTGGTTTGAACTGGAATATATGGCAGATAAGCCAGTTCAAAGCAGACATTGTGGGATTTTCTCCCTTGATATTCTGGGTTATGTGGCTGTGTGGAAGGGCCCACACAGCCATATAATGATGCATGACTAAAAAGTGTGCCGCCAACATAAAATGCTTGGAAAGCTTTGACCTAGAGAGAATATTAATCAAATTCTCAAATATTTAAGTTTGTAAGAGTGAAACTTTCAATGTGGATATCACCTGTATTTGTTTTTAAGGTTTTGGAGCCCATTTGACATCAGAATAGGCAACAGAATAGACAACCCTTGGGGAGAGCTTTCTAAGAGAGTGCCAATCCACCGACTAGACTAAACACCTGCTACAAAGAATTGACCAAGATTTAGGCCCCATCCACACTGCCGGATAAAATCCAGATTATCTGCTTTGAACTGGATTATATGGCAGTGTAGACTCATATAATCCATGTCAAAGCAGATAATTTGGATTATCTGTTATGATAATCTGGATTATAAGACAATGTAGATCCAGCCATAGCTTCAGTTTGTTCATCCTCAGGTTTGTATTCAACCCCAGAGAGCAGCTTTATAATTACCATGATTCAGACATGACTGTCGATAGATATGTAGCATACTCATTACAATTTTACATGTATTTTTGCCTTGACATATTCCTGTGTTATACAAATTCTTTACATGTTTTCAAGTTTTCAAGTTGTAAGCAACAGAAAGGTGACCTCATTCAGCAAGCGCGTTAGATGTAGTAAATCAGCAGAGCAGACTGTTCTGAGTAGATCTGAATAGAAATATTGCCTTTCTTTGAAGAATGTGGCATCTTGATTTCTTCTAGAAATATTACTGTAGGATCATACGCTGAGATAACCAACAGGAAAAATTACCAGCTAAAAGATTGTTTTATTATCAATGTCTTTCTTTTTTTGCATAGAAAAGTGTTCCCCCCCCCCCTCTGGTGTGGGGCTGCAACATATACTTATTTTCATATTACTGTTTTTGTGTATTTTTGCACAAAAACAAAGATTTTTCTATTGAAAAAAAGCATTTTTAAATCATTGTGCCCAGAAGAGATTAATATTTTTAAATTATTAATTTTGCATGTGAAAACAAAAATATAGAAATATTTACATTTCTGCTTTGGCCTTTAAAAACAGTGAATGTCTCACTTTAATCTTTCTCTCTTTCATAATCTTAGCTTCCAGTAGTGAAGTTTATATCTCCATCTGCTGGTCCTAAAGCAGGAGGAACTAAAGTAACCATCACAGGAAGTAACCTCGGTGTTGGGTCTGAGCTCCGGGTTTTGGTTAATGGCACAAAAGAATGTACAGACCTCAGGTAAGTGCTTTCAGGTTGAACCACAATTCATCTGTGAAGACTATTTTTGCTTTTCCTAGCAGTCCGTTATCTAATGGGTTCTTCTAGAAAAGATGCAGTCCATAGCATAAATAAATGCTACCAATTAGATACTGGTTTTGCACAGAACTTTCTAAACATAATATGCATTGAATCTGGTCATTGAATCAACTTGTTGAATCAATATGTAGATATATTCCAGTGTTTCAAAGGCTCTTCTCTTATTCGGATTGATAACAAGATTTATAGAATCATAGAGTTGGAAGAGACCTCGTGGGCCATCCAGTCCAACCTCCTGCCAAGAAACAGGAAAATCACATTCAAAACACCCCCTTTAAAGCATTCTCTGAATGCTGGATTTTCCACTTCCAAAACAATTTTGAGAAATCCATATTGTATCAGACCACAGATTGAGTTAGGCATTCTGTTCCTATAGTAGTGAACAGCTTACAGTGGAAAATAAACAATCAAGACAGGACTGCAAAAACTCACTTCCATGCATGTTGTTTGCCAAATAATGTTCACAGGCATCCTGCCTCCAAAGCTCCAAAGGCAACATAACGGTGATAAATCATAAGTTTGTATCATAGTATTATGATATTGGTAGCTTTATTTTTATTGACTAGGAACCAAAGTGAGACTTCTAGCTCAGTTGGTAGCATATCATTTTTGGAGAAGACTGTATCCCACTGGTTGTCTCCATTTCACCTGTTCTCTAGTTTACCCAATATTTCAAAGTTCTTATTTCAAGGAAAGCACTCCAGTTCTACCATTTTGGCTTGAGTTTTCTTGCATTACAACAGAAACACAATGTCTCTCTTCAAATAGCTTATGGTGTATACATTTTCCAATGTCTCTTTGACATTGCTCTGTAAAGTTTTCCATCCTGTTCGTATTTGACCAATCAAAAGCATGTCAGTCCCTCGGGACAATTCATCCTAAACTGGACACTTTCCAGCTTTTGTTGGTTTTCCCTTAATGTTTGCACAGACACTTTTCTCCCCTCCTTCTCCTTTTCTTTGAGACATGCCGCTAAAGAAGGAACAGGAGGTTGTTGCCAACACTCTAAGCTGACAACTTGCAAAATGGAGGGCTTCATGAAATTAGGTCAAATTTTTATCTGGGTTCTGCAGCATACAAGCTGTACTATGAGATAGTTTCCCTCTTCCTCTGAATGATATCCTCCTTTTGGGAGATTCTCATTGTCCATGACAGCCAGGAAGCTGTTACATTGCAACAGGGCTATTTCTACTGCGTCCCCAAAGGTCTCATCCACAGGCTTCCCTGCTGGACCAGGTCAGCAACCTTGGCTTCAGATGAATGAATCCCTTCCCTGAGGACCAAGGGCTCATTGCATGAAGTACGCATACAGAATTTTTGTCTTTCAAAAAGAAAGTCATTTTGTGCAAAACACTGGATTGTACATATATACTTGATATCTACATTTATAGCTACTTTTTGAAGTCTTCTTCTGTTCTGTTGGGGTTTTTTTTTAAATAAACATCATCATTTTTTTTCAAGATGAACTTCCTTGGCTTTCTCATTCTCTTGGTAGACTCACACAGGTGCTTAACTTGTATAGGTGTTTAGAGTCACATTATTTTAATGTTTGGTAGCTCTCTGGGAGCTTGTTCTATTTTTAAAGCAATGGCTACTTTATCCAACTATTCCTGCAGCCAGTATCATAAGTCTTCATTTTAAAATCTTAATTTAAAAAGAACCATGTGTGTACATGGGTGAGAGAGAAAGAGAGAGAGAAGGAATCAATGAATGTGTGTGTGTTGGTGTGCATCTTTGAATCAGAGTTTCGACTGTGTTGGAGGTTGTAAAATAAACAGAAAATTTACCACAGTTTCTGAACCAAAATATACTCTGCAGTATAATAATGTTTCACTCAGATTTTTGTAATGAGTAACAGTAACTTTACTTCAGTTCAAAAGGTCAAACAGAGCAACAATATATACAGGAGTCTCTCCGAATTCTTACAGAGAACAGAGGGAATAAACAGTCCTTTTAAACAGTCTTTAAAATATGCTTCATGCCTTAGAAATGATCAGGCTTCAGAAAGTTGGCAGCCGTTTCCTTCCCGGCTGCTTCCAGTCAGCGCTCTCTTCACTCTCCAAGGTGAAAGTGGCAGTTAAAACCATTTGTCTCAGCAGCAAGCCAGAGACAGTAGCTAATCAGAATTCTGGTTCCTGGCATGCTCAGCCAGTCAGCTGCCAACACATGCCTTTCCAGTGAACCCATTACATCACGATCCCTTTTTACAAATCCCCACAATCTGGGCTTCTCTATACACTTGTGAGTAGAAATCTTGGTGAGTTAGAAAAATGCTTCATTTTGTTATGTTCTGAATCTTCTACCAATCAATTTTATTAGATGATTCTCCATTTTTCTCTTATGTGGGAAGACAGTCATTACTACAAGCTGAGTATCCCTTACCAGGAGATTTGAAATCCAAAATGCCCAGAATCCAAAATTGACCATATAGGTGACTGAAATGGTGACACCTTTGCTTTATAACGGTTGAGTGTGTTTCATGCATAATGTAATTAAGCATATTGCATATAACATTACCTTCAGAGTATGTGTATAAGGTGTATATGAAGCATAAACAAATGTCGTGTTTAGATGTAGTTTCCATTTCCAAGATATCTCAGGTCCCTTCTACACTGTCCTATATCCCAGGATCTAGTCCCAGATTATCTGATTTAAACTGGATTATATGAGTCTCCACTGCCAGATAATCTGGGATTAGAAGATAGTATGGTATATGATCGTGGGACATAGGGGCAGTATGGAAGGGGCCTCAGTATGTATTTTAGCATCCCTCAGTATGTATTCTATCATCCCTTGCTTCCAGGAAATGGAGCTGGCTGTAGGATATTTTGAATAGGTTTTTACTGCCAAACAATTGCAGTCAGCTGCAGAGGTGGAAATACACATTCAAAGAAAAAATGGCTAAATGTATCAATAACTCATGATATTCTAATTACTATGTGTTATATACGAAATGGAAGGGATATGGGAGAAATGTGCAATACTTTTGTGAGTAACTGAATTCCAAAAAATCTGAAATCCAAAAAATGTCTGGCCCCAAGCATTTTGGAAAAGGGATTCGCAATCTGTACATAATCATCATCATCATCATGTTTCTTTATATACCACTCTGTCTCCCCTAGGAGACTCGGGGCGGTTTTCATGTAGACAGCGTACACAAAAACTTACAAAGTAAGCCAAAACATAGGCATAAAGTTACGAACACACATATGCACATTAATTAAAAGACCAATCCCCAATATTCTTCTGTGCAAAATGTTAGGGCCAGAGTTTTGGAATGGGCTAGGCAATTTAGGAAGGCTGGGCCGAGGCTAGTATAAAACAAAACATAAGGGGCCAGGGAAATGGGTAAAGTGCAATGATCAGTCCCAAAAATAGTCATAGCGTTCATTTCCAGAGCCTATTTGAGAACTGACCGGAGTAGTAGATTGGGTGCATCTAATACTGTTTGTATTCTTTATGTACTGGTCACGCTTCTATAGTGCTATGCCATTTAAAAGTCTTTCAGTAGATAGAATGCAGCACAGTTACTTCTACGTACTAATAAAATCCAGACCCAAAGTAATACTTGCAGTGTACTCAAGAGCATAATATGTCTTTTCTTCTTAGCCGAACTGACACCACCATCACGTGCACCATGCCAAGTGTGGAATTTACTGCCACCGCAAGCGTCTGTGTCCAGTTTGAAAATAAGTCTTGCATTGGTGACAACAACAATTTCAACTATGAGAAAAATCCAAGTATAATGGATATCAACCCCAAAAAGAGTCAGATCAGGTAAGAGATGTAATTTTCTGGAAAGTGTTAGCAGCATCAAAAGAATTAGACTGATAGTAGCAATTACGGGAGAAGTAACAGTGTCGGGAGAGTACTGTGCTTTTATCCTCATTGTTACATTTTTAATCAAAGTTGTGAGCTACTTTGCATCTCATATTGAGAGAAAGGTAGAATGTATGTTTGTTAACATAAGTGGCAGATGATGGAGTAATGTTTTAATTTTAAAAAACTGCATATTGCTCTGAGGCTGGTATTCAAGTTACTGAGAAGAATAAAGCTGCTGAGAAAGACAGAACACTTGTTCATTGTAAAACCCGGTTCCAGCTAGCAGCACCAAAATCCAAACTGGTAATGGGGAAAAATGCTAATTTGATGGACTTCAAAGGAGATAGAAATTCAGGCCAAAGTTCAAGCAAGAATCATACTCTTCTTACCAGTTCTGGCTGCTGATGCAGTTTGCAATTTCTTATTCACAAGAGGAACCTGCAAGGCCAACACATTCATTCTTAAAACATGTTGCTTTTGATTTCATTTTCTTCTTGAAGCCCTTGGGGCTTCTGTTCCCCTTTAAAAAATTTCTCCGTGAAATCACTCCCTGCGTAGTACAGACTTGGAAGTATAGCAGTGTAATGTGAACAAAGAAGTTTGAGAAATCAGCTTGTGCCCTTCAAGCTGCATAAATAGGAGTATAGTGTCTAGATCCAGGGAAGTCATGCTACCCCTCTATTCTGCCTTGGTCAGACCACACCTGGAATACTGTGTCCAATTCTGGGCACCACAATTGAATGGAAATATTGAAAAGCTGGAATATATCCAGAGGAGGGTAACTAAAATGATCAAGAGTCTGGAGAACAAGCCCTATGAGGAGCGGCTTAAAGAGGTGGGCACATTTAGCCAGCAGAAGAGAAGGTTGAGAGGAAACAATGAGGGCCATGTATAAGTATTTGAAGGGAAGGAGGGAGAAGGGATGAGGATTGTTTTCTGCTGCCCTGGAGACTAGGACGCGGAACAATGGCTTCAAACTACACCAAAGGAAATTCCACCTGAACTTCCTGACTGTGAGAGCTGTTCAGCAGTGGAACTCTCTGCCCTGAAGTGTGGTGGAGGCTCCTTCTTGGGAGGCTTTTAAAGAGAGGCTGGATGACCATCTGTTGAAGATGCTACTTTCCTTCTTGGCAGGGAGTTGGACTGGATGGCCCACAAGGTCACTTCCAACTCGGTGATTCTATAAGCTGTAGCAGCTCAGAAAGTATATTGTGCCACGAGAGCTAGATGCTCAGTTCTTATTCAAATGTTTAGTGACATTGTGAATGAAGATCCCAAAATCAGAAGGAAATTGAAATTTGTTGGGAAATACTTTACAAAAAAAACCCCCATAGCATTGTACACAGTTTCCAGTGTTTGATGTGAAGTCCGGTGTCATGACTATGAGGAAGGACAGAATTGGGTCAAAATGCATTAAGCAGGGGGAAAACAAGCGTATGCTTGAAATCAGGACTATCCTATACTGTGATGTGTAAATAGCATTATTAGTGTAGAACAATGAAGCTTAGTAATTTATACTGCAGATTTTCACATGAGTTTCCTCCTATTGTGTTGCTGTGGTTTTGTTTCTCAAATGGATAATTATTGGATCTCTCATGATTTTTCTACAATGATCAACTGCCATTGAGAATGATTTTTTTTCAAGGAAGTTTCATACCCCAGGCTGTTTCACAGATGTGGGATGAGCTACAGAAAGCCTATGAATATGCATGAGTATGAATAACTGCAGCATGCTGAGGTGTTAGAGAGGCCTTAAAAGACTTGTGAAGGCCGTGCTTGTAAGAGCCTGCACACGAACACGGTAGTTTCGAGTGTCTTTTGGAGACAAGGTGGATAAATCACTATCTTCCTGAATTCCCTGATGTGACACCTGATGTTGCAATATAATTAAAGCAAGTAGAACATGAAATGGTTGAAGTAATGAAAGGCCACATGCAGGGGAAAGCCTGGATGTAGTTCTGGTAACCAATGGAGACAAGCCGTTCCTCTTTCCTTCTCTCGGCACTGGTGACATGTGCTAGAGCCATCTCATTATTTTCTTTAATTGATTTCACATTGATGGCGACACATTTAGCATTCCTCGGGCAGCTTGTCCAAGAAAAAAATCCAAATATTTTACTTTTTAATAACATGTATTGAAAGATATAGGATTTGTGTTGCTGCAAATGCTTATCCTTGGTTTGCACCACAAGTTAGAAAATGCATGCACACTGTGTATATTTAACTTGAGTTGTCCAAATAGTTTTTTTCTGCTTGTTCCCCAAGTAAATTGCACTTTTAAAGTCTTTTTGTCCAAGCTAAGGAAATTGAGCTGTCATTTTAGGTCAAAACTACACAGAGACAGATGGTCCCTGGGCTAGCCCACATTTTCTCATCTTTTCAACACTCCCACCCAACAAGCTATCGTTCAAGTAACAAACAGTTTTTGAAAAGTACATGTAATTAATTTCATTTAGTGTTTGCCATAGAGGGCAAAATATGAGAAGAGATGAGCAGTGACAACTTACTGACATCCCATCAATCTTTATTTTGCCCACCCGCTACTCCCAGTTACACAATATCAGGGGGATGCAGCCTGCTGACATCCCAATCTCTCACTAAAACAAGTAGTTTGAACTTTAGACCGTAGCTTTCATAATATGACAGAAGGCTCCCAGGTCTTCTTCCTGCAGCTGTTAGGGAAGCACAAGGTCCTCTCTGCCTGTTCTTTCTTCAGAAACTTCACTTTTGTGCAGGCTTGGGTTGGACCAGGCTGCCGAATGCTTCTTTTCCATCAGTGTGGTATGCTTACTGAGCATGTTCACTCAGAGTTCAAGGCTCCAAGCTGTCTTGCTTGGTTTCCTAGTGACCATATATCTTCAAAACAGTTCTGAACCCTTGTGCCCCTCGGAGTTTGTCGAGTTTTCATCTGGGAATACTACAACAAATGCCACAAATGTTTTGTGGGACAAATTAAGGAAGCTTCCGAGCCTATAAGTCAGTTTTTAAGAATACAAAAGACTGTTTGTGTGTCTCTTTATCAAAGCTATAGCTTGAAGGCTATGAAACCTAAATACTTTAAACTTGACATGTATACCAAAGGGCATGTACCCTGAGGTTGTTTGGTTTGAAAACTAATTAATGTAAATGTTTTGCTCTGTTTGTAGCTTATGATGCCATTTTTAGTCACCAGGTTCCCTAAACAATGCATGGCTTTGCAGTTAATACATTTTGAATCTTCAGAGGAGGACCCTAAGGAACAGAATTGCAGGCTGCCCCCTTCCTAGTATTGTGGGGCAGCCTTTTCAAGGGAAAAGAGTGTTGTTCCCTCACTCCCTCAGGAAGCCGTAGATGTGAACCATCAGTAACGAAATGTTGCCTGTGGCTTTGCTCAGACAAAGAAAGTATAGTACATCCACATAACAGCTATACAACTATGCCTCTGGATTTTACTGTATTTCACCAAGTATGGAGCTGCCTGTGTTTGGCTGAAGACATTCAATAGAAAGAGAGCATTTTTTCCTGCTCTCTATCTTAAGAGCTATCTTACACTTTCAGGAATATGTTTGTATTTCCATTAAAATATTATTTTAATTGATCAATCATGGAAAGTCTTGGCATCGCTAATGGTACTGGATTAAATAAGACAACATGCTTCTTTCTAAATTTAAGAGTGAGATATATGCCCTGCTTTTTATCTGATCACTTTTCTATTTCTTGTCATTTAAAAGTGGAGGCAGAATCATCACTGTGGAAGGAAATGGATTTTTGATGGCTCAGAATGTGTCTATGGTTGTTCACACTATTGGTAAAGAACCAACGGTAAGTGTTCATCAATGTGGCACGAAAAAGGGAAGTTTTCAGTAGATTTGTAAACAATATGGAAGATCAAACAACGGGTGTAGTTTTTACATCAGGGGTAGAAGTTTGCATCTGTCCCTGCAAAATTCTGGAGGCCCAATCCCTCATTTTCAATTCTAGGCATGCCAAAAAAAATTCCCTAAAATATGTCCTTCAAAACCTCCCTAAAGTCTTTAGACAGACAGTTATTTTCTGTTTAGAAAGAAAGTTTTTTTATTTTGTGACAAAAGCATTGCATAAATTAGTATAAAACTGATAAAATAGAGGGAGCGCACAGCGACTACTTAATTTTAGACCAAAAGTGGGCAACAGTGACCACATTGTCTGTAGCTTTAAACCAGGGGTCCTCAAACTTTTTAAACAGAGGGCCAGGTCACAGTCCCTCAAACTGTTGGAGGGCTGGATTATAATTTGTAAAGCATGAATGAATTATAAAGCATGAATGAATTCCTATGCAYACTGCACATACCTTATTTGTAGTACAAAAAACACTTAAAAACAATGCAATAATTAAAATGAAGAACAATTTTAACATACTGTATAAACTTATTAGTATTTCAATGGGAAGYGTGGGCCTGCYTTTGGCTGATGAGATMGGATTATTGTTGTGGTCTTGTGTGCTTTCAAGTCGTTTCAGACTTAGATTGACCCTGAGTGAGGGCCGGGTAAATGATYTTGGAGGGCCGTATCCGGCCCTCGGGCCTTAGTTTGAGGACCCCTGCTTTAAACAATTCTTCCCCTGTGCATAAGGCCCACTGTACAAAAGTGCCCACTGGCCTAAAAGAAACTGAAAACCTGGAAATTAGGGGRAAAAATAGTGAATTGCCACTATAGAAACTTTGAGGGGTGTGTGTGTGTGTGTTCTCTTTTAGTCCTTATTCTTSCCTTTTTAATTGTTTTATACTGTAGCAAATTTGTTGTGTTTGAACATGACAGTTTGGTTTTTTAAAGTTTATACCATTAGTTTTTCATTTGCACCTTGTTTTAACCTTGATTCAAGCTACCCTGAATGCTTTAGGAACACTGGTTTACTTTCTTGTTAAACAAAACAGCCCAAGTTGATCCAAAGCATGTCAGAGTTGTCCCAGCAATATCTTGGAGGGATTGTGAGTTATTTTGAAACATGTTTAAAACTAGAAGTGAATTGGGCAGCTGGGGAGCCCAGAAAACACCACAAGGCCCATTGGCTTTACTTTCGCTGGTCCCTATCTTAAACCATCCCAGCTTTTAAAAATTCTTTTTGAAACTGTATCTCTTGACTTTTGATTTTTCAGTTTTAAAAATGTCTCCTTCTGGGCATTTTAATGATTAGAGGGTTTTTTTAACATTTGCTAACAATTTTTTGTTAATCGTGATGGTCCAAAGGAGGCAATGAAAGTTTGCAGTGATCCAGGGTTCACTAATGGTTAGCTATTCTCTCTTATATAACATTAACAGCTGAAACTTTTCTAATGGATTTTGTTTTCAGCTGTTGCAAGTACAGGTTGAGTATCCCTTATCTGTAATGCTTGGGGATCAGAAATATTTTGGATTTCAGATTTCTTCAGATTTTGGAATGCCTGTGTTTTTGCATATCCTTATATAATGAGTTCCGTAAAGATAGGATCCAAGTGTAAATACAAGATGTGTTTGTGTTTCATATACAGTACATAGCCTGGAAGTAATTTTATCCAATATTTTTTAACAATTTTGTGCATGAAACAAAGTTTGTGCAATTGAATCATCAGAAGGCAAAGGTGTCACTATCATAACCACATACGTGGGCAGTTTTGGATTTTTGAGTATTTTGGATTTCAGAATTCCTCATAAGGGATGCTCAGTCTGTGCTGTAATTGCTGCTGCTTTCTTACAGCTTTTGTGTATGTGTTAATATGGATCAAGTTTTTCAGCCCTTGATGTGCATGCTTTCTCCTGCTTTCAGAACTGTAAGGTTCACTCCGACACTGTGATTACCTGCCCCTCTCCAGCTGCCTCCAATCTCACTGGGAGCAAGCCAGCTTCAGTGGACTTCTACATCAATGGGCGCTTGTATACAGACGACCACCATTTCCCATTTGACCATTACGAGGAGCCTGTGCACATTAGCAAGTTCCACTTGGAGTACTACCCAGACCCCCAGTTCTTCACAGCCAAGAAGGAGAAGTGGATCAAACATCACCCTGGAGAGCCCTTGACTCTAGTCATACATGTAAGATCATAACACATGAAGTACACTGAGATTTCCCATAGGATCATTTTATTCAGAAGTTTCCTATGGGCGGTGAGATCATGTTCGTGTGTGTGTTAAGATCAAAATGGTGATATTTAATAAGTCATGGTGAGAATATTTTTTAAAAACCTAGTCATAGTGGCTTTCCCTAGATTTAAACATACACACACACTGTCATTCTTAAGTACTCAAATGATGATGAAGTGAGGATAATGTTTCTCTATAACTTTTAGATTGTGCTTTTCCTGCATGGCATGGGGTTGGACTAGATGGCCCATGTGGTCTCTTCCAGTTCTATTATTCTATGATTCTATAGCGGTCATCGACTGTTAGGAGTGGTGGGAGTTGAAGTCCAAAACACCTGGAGGACCAAAGTTTGCCCATGCCTGCTCTATAGCTTCATGTTTGATACACAACTTTCATGTCTATCTGAAAGATGCGCAAGTTGTTGTTATGCGTTTGTTGCACATTTTCTAATCAGGGAAGAAAGAAAAGGAATATGGGGCAACTGGTACTTTTTTGCTTTTTGCACCTTTAGATCATATCCACAATCATTTAAACTCCTTGTTTCTTCTTTTTGTCTTTGGAGCAGGGAGATTAGTTTTCAGAAGTGAGGCAGAGTGAGGCAATATATATTTATGGCAGCTTTCTCCATCTCTGAGGGAGGGTTCATGAGAAAGTGGTCTGCACAGGACTTCCTAACCTTTCAACCAGTTCAGAGAAGTATCGTCCCCTAGATCCAGATATGGATATGAAGTGGAGCACATCACTCATATTTCAGTAAAGACACAGAAAATCTAGACATAGGAAGTCTGGGAAGTATCTATACCTTCATCAACAACTCCTCCCAATAATTTTGAAAAACCCAGGAATAGTAATAAAAGATAGTAAAACGAGAAAAATTGAAAGAGGAAAGGAGACTAAAGAACCATTTTTAATCAGAAATCTGTGTGTTGTTCTGTCAGTTCTTGTTAAATAATTGAGGAAATGTAGTCAAATAGAACTGAATGGTTTGGCAAAGGAACAATGCTCATTGAATGGCTTTATGTGCTGCAGAATGCCCTCATGAGTACCATGAACTTCAAAAGCATTGTCTGGGGCATTAATCAGCAGGCAATCCAAACGCCATCTACCCTCTTTCCCAATCGTTTCTATAAAGGATTATGATTATTTTTAATTGAGGTATAAAATGAGAAGATCAAAGGCATTGTCCCCAGGCCTTTAAGGCTTTTTGACTCTGGTTCTTCCATTCTGAGAATTGGGAAAGAATTGGAAAATGTTCTTTTTTTCACTGTGTTTCAAGCCACTTCAAAATATGAAAGCAAGGAATGAGAACAGTGTGGTGTATTTCCCTTTGTGCCTTACAAAAGTACAGCATGCTCGGCAAAAGCTTTGGAAGGAATAAAAAAATAGCAAAATGTTAGGAATTGCATTTTAACGAGACTTTCACAAAGTGGCAAATATAAGGAAAGATGATTTATTTGATGTCAATCATTTTAATTTTTATTATTATCTCTTGGTTTGTTTCCACAATTAGAAAGAACCGGACAACCTTGGCCTGGAAAGCAATGAATATGAGGTTAAAATTGGTCTGATTTCCTGTGAGATCCAGATAGTTTCAGACAAAGTCATTCATTGCTCAGTCAATGAATCTCTGAGCACCTCAGAAAGACAGCTTCCTGTGACGGTAAGTGGGAGTAGATGAAAGTATTTACCCACTTATATTGAATCTGCCTTGTAGCTTAAGTGCACTCTTGTGGGACCAGGAAATTTGGCTTCCCAACTCAGTGTCCAAGAAATTAAAGCAATCCTCATGTTTTATTTTAAATCCTGGCCCCAATTTTAAATTGGCTCAGAAGCAAATTGGAAGCCAGTGCAGCTCTTGCATCATACAGCATGCTGGACACCATCTGATGGCTACATAGTATGCCATCCTGCAGCTTTTAACTTGGTTGCCATTGTATGATTTCTATTTCTTTCTGTTTAGTCTTTCTATTTGGCATTTTGGTGTGGTCACTTTTTTGTTCAAAGTCAGATAAATTCTGTTTCAGTAGCTTGAACTGGCTTTATTGGTATGCCATCTGTTCCTGCTAATTTATTTCCTCCTTGTAAATGGAGAGCAGTTTCTATTTTGTTTTATGAAAAAGTAAGTTGCTCATCTGAAGGAATCCATCTACCTTTCATCTCTTCTGTATAGGTTTTCATCATATCACATCCCTGCTCTCCCCATTTTACCCTCATAATATAATATGTTATCTTTTTGATCATTTAATACCTTTACTCTTGGTTTAAAGTTCCCTTTCATTTCATGAAAGGTGTGGAAAAGATATTTTACTTTTGTTGTTTTCATGTTTCTTTTCACTGTTTATTATCATAGTTCTCTTTTTTTCCTGTGTACAAGACTCAAAAGAGTGCATTCGGTATTTTGATTTTATTTCTTTGACTTTTTACTTTTCCCAACAAATACTTAAAACATAATAAGGGCTAAGAGATTGGACATGCTTTTAATATGCGCCAGAGTTTCAAAGAAACGGGGCACCAGGAATTGATGTACCTATCAGACCATTGTATTAATCTCTCATGCAAGCAAAGTGATGCTTCAGATTTTATAACAACGATTTCAAACATATATGGCTCAAATAATGGGAAATGCTCAAGCTGGATTTAGAAAAAGAAAAATGGAAGGATTCATATTGCAAACATTCATGGACTAAGAAAGCATATAAAAAAATCATTAGAAAACCAGCCTGTATTGTATAGATTATAGCAAAGCTTTTGACTGTATAGATCATGGAAACCTATGAGATGTTCTGAAAGTAAAAAATGGATGGACTAACACTTCAGTTATCCTGATATATAATCTGTATTCTAGACAAGTGCCTGGACAAAATAGGGAGACACAGAGTGGTTTCCAGTTCCAGGATGTCAAAGAAGGGTGATTTTATTGCCTTGCCTAATTTATAATATATCATATGGAAGGACAGATTAGGCATGGAAGAAATAGGCTTGAAAATTGGTGAAAGCAATAGTGGTGAAATGGATGTGAAAAATGGGCAATGAAGGAAGCTAGCAAGGAAAAATATCATTTCAAACTAAATAGGAGGATTTTTAAAAATCACATGAACTGCCAAAAAGACTAAGGAGTATGAGTGCAAACTATATCTCAGCTCTCTATAGAAGCCAGAATGTCTAAATTGGTTGTCTTATATTTTGGACACAACGTGAGGAGGAAAAGCACTCACTGAAAAAAACAATGCTGCAAAGACATGTTGAAGGCATAATTGAGTAGGATTGTCTCTATAAGGGAGCTATCGCCCCGAGATAGCAAAACCCATACAGAGCTGTTAAAACCAGGATATGATTTATAAATCAAAGCTACCTTGTTGAATGCCTTCAAGTAGCTTTCAAGTTATGAAGACCTTACAACAATCCTATTACAGGGTGTTTCTTGGAAAGATTAGTTCAGACCGGAAGACTGTAAGTTGCCCAAGATCGTCCATGTTGGGTCTCCACGACCGGGTGAGGATTCGAACACTTTTCTCCAGAGTCATAGTCCAATGCTCAAACTACTATAGCACAATAGTAATAATTTTATTTATATTCATATCTCTCTCCCTGCAGGACTCAGATAATAGCCCTCATCATCAACAACAACCACCACCATCTAAAGTTTTGATTTTGTTTTGTTTTATGTGCTCATGTTGCTTTCTAAACATAAATAGATTGGTACGGGTGAATGCAAGTACAAGCAAAGGTTTGACTTTGCTGCATAGTATATCCTTTGCCTCCTCTCCCAAAAAATATACAACAGCAATTCCTTTTTATGGGGAAATCAAAGGTGTGAGTTTGGGGCAATTCCTAATGTAATAGTTAACTTTGTAATGTTCTCATCTGGACCACCGATCTGTGCCTTAAGCTGAAACCCATTTATTTCACCTTGGGTTCTCTTTCTTTCTCACTCTGAAATGTTATGCTAAAGTGTGACAGGATTTTGGCAAGAAACAGAGAGACTGTAGTGAGAGGAAGAGGGAAATTTAAGAAAGTCAGAAATTGCCCTGCAGCCAACAAGTAACTAAAACTCATTAATGATTGCCTAGTGGGATCGTGTCCAATTAAAAAGTAACGAATTCTGCTGAGGATCAATAAATGAAATAAATATGAAGTTGGATATAGGATAAGGCCTGTTCCCAGGTGGCAGAGTAACAGTGCAGAATTGCAGGTGCTGCCTGTCATGAAATCCTTTCCTTAAAAATCCTTTGTCTTCTTCTACACTTGTATAATCAGTATGGTAATTTTCACAAGTTTAATGTGAGCTGGCATCCTTGCTGCCGCTCTCAGTGGGGGAGCTGGGGGCTATGTGAATGTGAGAGCCTATATTACAATCAAGCAAGATATACTGGAGATACACACAAATTTTAGCCATTTCTACATTGAGGAAATCAGTTCCCGGGGCTGGCTTCCCATGGTCAGTGTCTATGTGACACTAAATGGGTCACTGAGAACTTTGGCAGATTATAACATTTCTTTAATGCATTTGAAATAAAAAATTATTTAAATGCCTCCTTCCATTTTCATCAAGGCCACAGTGTGTAGAGAGGGCAGGTTTAATTAACAGTGACCCTGGTTAAAATCACTTTGTGGGTATGATGCTTTTTTTTTTTTTTGAAAGCCCTCATTTGTGCCAGATTTTCTAGCCTGATAGTCAGAGGGGGACAAATTTTCATTGGGATTATGGCTGATCAATGAATATTTAAATTTTGCCTTCTCACATGCTTCTATGCTAATGAAAATTGGGGAGGGGGTAATTCCCATGAGCTGTGGTCCTGATGAAAATAGTTGATGCAAACATTTAAAATATGATAAAAGTCACAGGTACCATGTTTCCCCGAAAATAAGACACTGTCTTATATTTATTTTTCTCAATAAGTCACACTATGGCTTATTTTCAGGAGGTGTCTTATTTTTATTAAGTTTAGTACAACAATCTGCATTTTTGGGATGATCTCTCTGAGCTCAGTAGCAGACTGCTTGCTGAAGCTTTTGCTCTATGCCCTGGTATTTGTGTGAAGTGAGAGAGACCCTCAGACTGTTGCTGGTTGGTGCTGAGGGAGAGAGACCCACCGTGTGCCTTTGACTAGGCAGTTGACCAGAGAACTGGCCCGATCTTGCCAAAGCTCCTGAACTTTAGTTTGGACCTCTTTCCTGTAATCCTGACACTTAAATGGCTGAGGACATTATCCTCCCAGCCCAGCCTTATTGAATTTTGCACTTTCCCTCGGCTCTATTTAGGAACCACTCCACAAACTCTGAGCCCTCCGAACTCAGCATCTATTATCGTTCATCCATTATATTGTTTTTATGATGTTTGCTTTGTGATCGCGATATGTTTTTACCTGATGCATTGTTTTTTATTTGATTTTATTGTGCATGTTTTAATCTGTATTTTTGGACTTGTCCCTTTGTAAACCGCCCTGAGTCCCTTTGGGGAGATGGAGGCGGTGTATAAAAATAAAGTTACTTACTTACAGTGCTGAGTAAAAGGGCAGCCACAGTTTTACTTCTTCCCCCTGAGGACACACAATACCTAAAGCAGAGCGTCCTGCTCCCCACTTTCACTTTCTATGTCTCCTTCTATGCCTCATCTTGTAGCACTCACAGAATGACTGGGACCTGATGGGGGAGCCAACGTTGTACACTGCATAGCCATTTCTGTCCCTATGTCTTATTTTTGGGGTATGGCTTATATTGCTCAAATGCTTAGAAATCCTACTATGGCTTATTTTATGGGTATGTCCGCCTCGAGTCGCCTAAGCCGTCTTGAGTCACCTTCAGGCTGAGAAAGGCAGTATATAAATATGGTAAATAAATAAATATAACCTATTTTTGGGGAAACAGGGCAGTATCATGTATCATTTGACAATCTCAGTGCTATTATCCTTTTCCTTCATCACTTTGCTGGAGGTGGTTGAAGCTCCCCAAAAGGCAGGATCCAAATTTTGCTCTCTCGCATTGGGAGGTTTTGGTCCTCTGTGTAAGTTTTCTTCAGTTTAATGTTTTGCATCTGTGATTTTATAAGTCTTTATTCCTGGGTAGGTTTTTCCCCCAGACTGCTCTACACATTCTACGCCCTTCTCTTTTGTTTCTTATTATTATTATTATTATTATTATTATTATTATTATTATTATTATTGTACAATCTTTAGATAGTTTAGGATTGAGTTTAAACATGTTCACACTTTGAGACAGGTGGAAATATTAGGCCTGACGACCTGTAGTTTTCTTTCCTTCCTTTCCCCCTAAATTACAGTTGTTCCTTTTTCCAGTAAATGTGTTAATATTAAATTGGCAGCCAGACATGGCTTTCACTGCAAGGGAAGGGAGCCTATTGGGACTTAAAAAGCCTGTGGCCAAATCTTCCCCAGAAACAGAGCAATCGACAAATGTAGGATGGAAATTTCGGGAGAAACCAGGACTTCATCTGCAAGAAGGGTATTATTTTGAGTCTTTATATGTAGAATTCCATTGCGAATGAAAACAAACACAGACAGAAATAGAAAGAGTCTGAATTTCCTGATCCATTGTTGCAGTGACCTATAAAATAACAAAATTCCATTTTAATAGGAAATTTAAAATGAAAGGAGTGGCACTTCTAAAACAAGAAACTGAATTTGTGATTGCTTTTGAAAG